TATGCGACCCGAGACCTCACGACGATCAAAGGTCTCTCTCTCTCTCTCTCTCTCCTCTCTCCTCTTCCTCCTCGTCCTCGTCTTTCTTGCTCTAAACCCTGAACCCCCCTTGCCTTTCTCCCTCCACCTCCTCCACCTTGCTGCCCTCACCTCGGCTCGCAGACAACCTGCTCTCGGAGAACAGGATGAGAGGAGTTGGCGTCCAGCTAGGGGCGACGGCGGAGATCGAGAACAACAGGATCTGCAACAACACGGCGGAGGGCGTCTACGTCAGCCGCCCCGGCAGCCGCGCTCTCATCACAAAGAACGTGATCGCAGGCAACGGGGTGAAGGGGGTGGGGGTCCAGTACGGGGCTGACGCATCGATCGAGGACAACGAGATCTACGAAAACAAGATGGTGGGGGTGCACGTGGACCATGCGGGGTCGAGGGCAACGTTGAGGTACAACAACATCAAGGGGCAGTCGGTGTCGATCGCTGCAGAGGAGGGGGCCCTGGTGAAGAGCATAGGGAACAACGTGGTCGACACCTCCTCCTCTTCCGCCATGGAGACGGTGATGGAGGAGGAAGAGGTCGATACCGGGGAGCCCAGGGGCGCCGACGCCATGTTCGAGAGTCCACAGAAGGGAGAGAGGAGCAAGATGGAGTTCCCCATGGCGGACGAGGGGTCGAGGGTGATGACCCCCCGAGAGGACCCCAGCTACAAGTCCCTCCTGACCCCCCGCGAAGTCCCTACGCCGAGGACAATGACGCTGCCGCGCGCCTTCCCCTCTCGGCTCGACGCCATCATCAACGAGCAGATCAACTGGCCCTCTAAGGTGACTCCCTCCTCCGTCAACCTCTCCTCCCCGCCCTCCTCCTCCTCCTCCTCCAAGGGCAGCGGCGTCCCCGAGGCCTCCACCAAGCATAGCCAAGACAAGGACGTCCCAGCGCGCAACGCGAGCTTGCGAGGGCGGCTGACAACTCCTGCGACCAACGGGGGGGCCGACCGACCCAACATCGTTCCCACCCTCAAGCTCACGGGACTGCAGAACAACAGAGGAGTCGATCCGCGGAAGGAACAGGAGACGGTCCCGGCGCCGCGGGGTACGGCTGCCCCAGACTCCTCCGGCGGCGTCAACAACCAACCTGGCAAAATCTCAACCCCACGAGTTCTGGAGACAGGACCAGGTACGCACACAGAGGAACAAGAGCAGGAGGGGCAGGGGGTGGGGGAGTAGAAGTGGGAGCAGGGGAAGAGGGAGGAGCAGGAGGAGCAGGTGAAGGGGGAGTAGCAGCAGGAACAGGTGAAGGGGGAGTAGAAGAAGGAGGCTCTGACGTCTTGCAGTCGAGACAGGAGCAGGAGGAGGAGAAGCGAAACCTTCCTTCAAGGACTGGGTCCTCATGCCGACCTACTCCAACACCCCCCGGTAGCAGTCCGAGCATGCGCGCTAGCAGTTGACGAAGACAGCAGGACCACCAGGACGACGCTTCCTGACAACGGGCTGGAGACAGACAAGGTTGCCAACTCTCCCAGGATTGTTTGAGGGGTGGAGGGAGGAGAGAAGAGTGCGGAGAGGAGCAGGAGGAGGAGGAAGGATGAAGAGGAAGAATGAGGAGGAAGTGGAAGGAGGATCTAACACTCTTTGAGTGGACAAGCTGCTGTAATGATCGCGGTTGTCATGATAGGACAAGTAAACATCTCATTTGACGTATTTACAAAAAAAGAGCAATATCTTAAAATACAATCAGCTTACTCGACTCTCCCTCTCACTCCTCCATCGCCGTGCATGTCTTGCAGGCAGCTTCGCAGAGAGCGCCGATCATAGCGGTAGCTTCTCCTCCCCCGGCCACCAGCCGCTCCCTTGGGGTAGCGTTGTTGATGAAGGGGAGTACAGACGGGTCTGAATGCATGCAGGTCAGGACCATGTGAGCCATCTTGTACGCGGAGTAGAGGTCGTCCTTCTGATCCTTGTACAGATCGCAGAAGAACTGAGCAAGCTCGAGCATGCTCCACTCCTCCTCCTCGCTCCCGTGCAGCCCCGACACTGTGCATGGCAGGGTGGCCAGGTGGGGGAAGGCTACCAGGAGGGCGGTCGCTGCTTGGAGGGAGCCGCAGCAGATGGCGTAGTGGAGAAGGCAGGCGTTCTTGACGTGCAGACAGTCTCTCTGGTTCCATGTCGTCCTGTGGACGGTGACGGAGAAATGGCAGAGCGTCGGGTTGACCACGTTGGGGGTCCATCCAGAGAGGATCATGTGGCAGACGAAGGGGAAGTTGTTGCTCTGAACGCTCCTCATTAGCGCGATCTCCATCCCTCTCGAGTCGATGGCCACTTGCATCACGGGCTGGGCCTTGGGCACTGGAATCCCCATCACACACCCCTTGGGGAGCTCTTCAGGGCACTCGCTCGTGTCCTGTCTTCCACTCGTATCTTCCCTCCCGCACTTTGCTTCGAACTCTTCCGCGATCTCACCCTGCACCCTGCAGTCAGGCGAAGGCGCCCTCCTCAGGGAAAGCTTCGATCCGAAGAATCCTCTCGCTTCCATGCGCTTGTTTCTCATCCCGGATCTTCTTTCTGCTGGCATCCTTGGAGCTTGATTCAACTTATCAGGACGATGGCAAACTTGGCTCTTGTCCTCACTCCTGTCTTCTCTCCTTCCTGTTCAGAAGCTTGGTGTTGTAGATGTAGATGTTGTTGTTGTAGATGATGATGATGTAGTTTCACTGTTGCTGGTGCTGCCTGGCCGACTGGCTCCTTGCGATTTGCCTTCGTTCCCTTCCCTTTTTATTCCCTATCTTAGTACCCCACCCCCCATTGCACACCCTACCCAACCCTTTAGCCTTTCCTCCAAGTTCAACCCTACCCTACTTTTGACTGATATTCGGTACCACAAGGAAGGTGTGTACCCCTGATCAGGAACATAAAATCCATGACCCACCCTTCAATTTGCACCACCCCACCACTCAAGGTGAGCACCTACACGGCTGTGAGCCAGAGCTACTACCCCCGGAATTGTACAGACAAATGATCACCCCTCATTTGTTGTTGAAAAAATTGTATAATGATGAGGTAGGGTGTATACCCCTACCCACAAGCGTCCCTTCATTCCATCTATCTCTCTGGCGCCTCAACCAGAACGCTTTACTTAAAAACTTAATATAAACGGTTTCAAAGAAGACAATGAAATCGAAAACAGACGATTTCAATATCCACACGGCCAGAGCACGTATGGAGAAAACCGCCAAGGCATGCCAAGTAACGTGACCGAACTATCCAGATATCCTAGGCGAATCGGCGTTATGTACCTAAGTTTGAACTAATAATGATTTAGACAAAAGCGATTTCTTGTCTTTTCACAAACACTGCCGTAACTGTGATACAAATTACATCTATTTAAAAGAAATGTTCGCTAAAAGTAATGTTGCATAGTGAAGGAGTCTCAGAAAGACCACCCCACCGTCCATTTATCTAATTTTCTTGCCCACAGGGACTGGTAGTATTCGCATTATCGGAGTAAAGAGCCGGTCATGGTCCTTTGTCCCCTTTAAGATGACAACTGGCATGGCAATGGCACGGAACGACGGATATTTACGACGATTCACTTGGTAATATTCATGAAACCATTTCTTTTCGCTGCTGATGCATATCCAGTAAAACTCTGAGGCGAGCTTGTCATCAGTGATGACTTTAACTCGAGTACCACCTGCCAGTCACCTTGAGCTACCGGGGCTCCTCTGGCCTCTTCGAGTTCCGACGGGGCTCTGCTGAGCCTCCGGCCCCTTCCGAGTCACGTCCATCCTGAGCATGATCTGTAAGAACTCAGGTTCTGACAAACCTCTCAGAAGTTCTTTCAGACGTGATAAGTTCAAGGGATGCGTCTAATCAGGTTGTGAACCAAGTGAAGCCTGCAGGTCCAAGCTAGTGGGCTGGAGCTTAGTCTGTGACTTAGAAGATCCGGTTGGTTGGAGCCTGGGGAAGCTGAGGCGGCGCCGGAGGAATCAAGAGGCGCCGGCTGTCGAAGAGGCAGCACTCGTACAGTGGTGGAAGTAAGGCGGTGGTGTGTGAAGGGAAGCTGTTTGGTTGGTCTTGCTGCTACGAGTGTTGGGAATAAAGTGCTGGGGATTGTTGGGAAGTTGATCTGAGTTACCTGAGGTGTTTGGTTGGCTGTGAAAGTCATTGGTGTCTTCGTGCGCACATCATCTGTGAGTCTTGGTCTTTGGACTTATCAGTCAGCTGTTGAGCTGTTCTACTAGTCATTCATCTGTGCACAGACTCTAGGAGTCAGGAATTGATTCCAATACAAAAAGAAAATTTTCTTTTTGTATTCACGAACAAAGGAATACAAAAAGACTCTACGATAACATTCCAAGGACAACGAGTTTAAGGGCTCTTGGTCTTTGTGCGTCGAATTGACAACGAGTTTGAAGGCTCTTTAAGGCTCCTGGTTGTTGTACTGGACGCTGTTACTCATTTTTTTTGGAACGGTATTGGTAACTCCAAGTTGACGATCATGAGCATGCCAGATCTGCAAGAGGAGTTGAAACGAAGCCATGGTGATGTTCAGGTCGACAAGCTGAAGCATGGGAAGGTTACCTCCAAGGAAAAACTCGAGGACCTGTTCCTTCCTTTCTCAGGTGCCATGAGTCGTTTTCGTCCGAATCTTGGGGCTTGTTTCTTAAAACTGTTGGACTTGTTTCCGATTGACGAGACTGGATCGTTTGTTGGAGAATTTCATGAAATGTGGGAGTCGTCTCCAGAAGGCCTAGAAAAATTCTCTTCGCTGGAGTGGAAGATTCAGGTCACGGCGTTGTTTCTGCATGCTGGGTACATTTGGAAGAATGGGAAGAAATTCAAGGATGCTCTTGAGAAGTTTAAGAAGTTGCGAGGAAAATTCGAGGAGGCAATCGCAGCCAGCGAGGATGTGAATGATGGTGCTTCAGAGGATGGAGAGATGGGTAATCCACTCGATACATCTGTGGTTTTCTCTCCACACAAGTACCAAATATCACCGAGGTTGTTCAGATCCTCAGCTGATCGACAG